ATGTAATTGTTTTGTAACAGAGGTATGTAATTGTATTGTAACAGAGGTATGTAATTGTATTGTAACAGAGGTATGTAATTGTATTGTAACAGAGGTATGTAATTGTATTGTAACACAGGTAAATAATTGTATTGTAACAGAGGTAATTGTATTGTAACAGAGGTATGTAATTGTATTGTAACAGAGGTATGTAATTGTATTGTAACAGAGGTATGTAATTGTATTGTAACAGAGGTATGTAATTGTATTGTAACAGAGGTATGTAATTGTATTGTAACAGAGGTATGTAATTGTATTGTAACAGAGGTATGTAATTGTTTTGTAACAGAGGTATGTAATTGTATTGTAACAGAGGTATATAATTGTATTGTAACAGAGGTATGTAATTGTATTGTAACAGAGGTATGTAATTGTATTGTAACAGAGGTAATTGTATTGTAACAGAGGTATGTAATTGTATTGTAATAGGGATATGCATTTAGGCCTCCAAATTTAGACCTTAACCAACATTGATGCGTCCTAGAAGGAGGAAACAGCTGTATGACGCGGTTTAACTCATTGGTTGGCTCTACTTTATCTAACACCAAAATTCGTATTAAAATGTACGATTCACTTGTTTTTCTTTCGTGTAATCTCCCATATAGTATATATGTGTGTCAACGATCGTAACGTTGACAAGGGAAGCACGCAAACTTCCAGGAGTAATTTATTCACAATATTTGTCTTAGTGACAATTCAGCGGTACAAACATTAACTAATTGACTTAAAGGATTACTATATATATTCTATATCCTGTATTTGTTTCATACTGTTGTTTATCACGTGATTTGACTTGGCGGCACGAAAATGTTATGAAAGCATTTAACATACAAATGCCCAAGTTATGATGCAGCCATGTATACATGAACTTTTTAAAATACACAAAAGAATTGTTAATATATAATTCACAGCTGTGAAATTATGTTTGATGAAGGATAAACAGCCATATTTATATATTTACATGTGTATACTTATCATTATAATTATGGTAAGCTGGTGTATAAAAACGGACACTAAAAATAACTCCTTTTTCCACCAAGCTATTGTATATGTAAAAAAAAACAGTGAACCGTCAACACATTCTGTTTTGTTTATTTTGTTTTCATAACTGGTTCACAGATTATACAGAAACATGTAACACCTGTAGTTAGTTACACACATAAAACACCTGTAGTTAATTAAACACGTGAAACACCTGTAGTTAGTTACACACGTGAAACATGGCAGTTAATTACACACGTGACACACTGCAGTTAATTAAACACGTGAAACACTGCAGTTAATTAAACACGTGAAACACCTGTAGTTAATTAAACACGTGAAACACCTGTAGTTAATTAAACACGTGAAACACCTGTAGTTAGTTACACACGTGAAACACCTGTAGTTAGTTACACATGTGAAACACTGCAATTAGGTTCACACGTGAAACACCGGTAGTTAATTACACAAATGAAACACCCGTAGTTAATTAAACACGTGAGACACCTGTAGTTAATTAAACACGTGAAACACCTGTAGTTAATTAAACACGTGAAACACCTGTAGTTAATTAAACACATGAAACATCTATAGTTAGTTACACACGTGAAACACCTGTAGTTAATTAAACACGTGAAACACCTGTAGTTAGTTACACACGTGAAACACCTGTAGTTAATTAAACACGTGAAACACCTGTAGTTAATTAAACACGTGAAACACCTGTAGTTAGTTAAACACGTGAAACACCTGTAGTTAATTAAACACGTGAAACACCTGTAGTTAATTACACACGTGAAACACCTGTAGTTAATTAAACACATGAAACATCTATAGTTAGTTACACACGTGAAACACCTGTAGTTAATTAAACACGTGAAACACCTGTAGTTAGTTACACACGTGAAACACCTGTAGTTAATTAAACACGTGAAACACCTGTAGTTAATTAAACACGTGAAACACCTGTAGTTAGTTAAACACGTGAAACACCTGTAGTTAATTAAACACGTGAAACACCTGTAGTTAATTAAACACGTGAAACACCTGTAGTTAATTAAACACATTAAACACCTGTAGTTAATTAAACACGTGAAACACCTGTAGTTAGTTACACACGTGAAACACCTGTAGTTAATTAAACACATTAAACACCTGCAGTTAGTTACACACGTAAAACACCTGTAGTTAATTAAACACGTGAAACACCTGTAGTTAATTAAACACGTGAAACACCTGAAGTTAATTAAACACATGAAACACCTGTAGTTAATTAAACACGTGAAACACATGTAGTTAGTTACACACGTGAAACATCTGTAGTTAATTAAACACATTAAACACCTGTAGTTAGTTACACACGTGAAACACCTGTAGTTAATTAAACACATTAAACACCTGTTATTGGTTACACATGTGAAACACCTGTAGTTAATTAAACACATTAAACACCTGTAGTTAGTTACACACGTAAAACACCTGTAGTTAATTGAACACGTTAAACACCTGTAATTAGTTACACACGTGAAGGTTTTAAAGTAGGGATACTACAGCTTTAATCTTCGTAAAGTTTCGTTATCATCGATCTTCAGGGGATAGCTTGGAGAAACCGGGCTAAAAAAAAAAAAAAAAGGAGAAAACATCCCAGCACTTTTGTTATGATACAATTTCGTTAATTCCAACGATTTTAACCGTAATGCAGATTCTGAAACATAACAAAATAAATTACCTTACTTAATATTTCCTATTCCAAGACACTGTACGATAGATTGTAAATTTACTTTATACTGATTCTTCATATCATCAAATTTCACACAATCATTTTTTATGCTCCGCCATAAAATGGCGGTGGAGGGTGGAGGGGAGGCAGTAATGTTGCCCATGTCCCGTCCCAACACGATTAAATGTAAGCATCTAGCAACTTTATCCTTTGAGAGATGAGTTAAGAGTTTACATATGACATCGTTGTATTCCAGGAGCTATATGAAATCACTGCCAAGTGATTTGTTTAACCTTTTAACACCTAAACTCCTTGATGGATTTTTGTCAACCTGTATGCAAGCATCAAGTATGAATTTGCTTTGGACATTATTGTGTTTCAGGGGTCAAAGGTGACGGCTTTGCCGGCGGGGGCATTTCTGCCTTAAGACTTTTTCCATTTTTTTTTTCGAAATTCTTGTAGAGTATTTATTCCAGGTTTATAGGTTATAAATAATCCTGGATAGGGCCATACAAAGGGAAACAAAAAATAGATAACAAAGAAAATCACTATTTACTTTCCGCTGTCATACATCATTAATAGGTGAAGTTAGATTTGACTTTAAAACGATTATGTGTGTCGAGAGAGACGGACTAGCGGTAACAGGGTTACAAGGTTACTGACCCTGTCAGTTAAATGTATCATAAACATGTATGTGTTTTTATACTGGCTGCTGAAATGTTATACCGAATCCTGTAAATTAATTCACATGTGTTGCTCTATATACAATAAGTTAGGAGTTTCTGTCACAGGTGACGTGCTTATCTTACACCCTACTGTATCTCGTTGATACAGTACTTTCACAAATCCAGAAGTCAGTTAATTATTCAATTCTTGGTGACTTTCTATTTTTGTGGTATTGAAGCACACATTTCATCCTTGTATACTTTTGTGGTGTTATATCCGACATTTACCGAGCGGTGTGCATAGTGTACCTTTGTGAAACTTCCAACAAACGGTCCAGGGAAAGCGAAAGTTGTGTAAGTAAAATTTTATGACAACGTTATCAAAAATTATGACTTACAGCCAAAAAGGACCCATTACCAAATTTAATCACTTGTTACTGTTATGCTGATGTGATAAAGCGGTATATCAAAAACTTTATTCATTTCGTAATATAAGGTTTGGTTTTGACTTTTGTAACCTTTTGCAATATTTATTATTGAAATATCGTTATCTAAGTATTTTTTTTTCTTTTTTTGTAAATGGTCGTTTCGAAGTTGATTTTTATTGTGTTCTGCATACGCTAACTTTCCTGGAACACCTGGTCTTAATCTCCTTGTACTTTTTCATTAGTCTCCGTGTAAACCTTTCACAAGAGCTATATTCTACATCACATAACAATGGCATGACGTCATTATACGCCATGTTGACCTGCGTTATGTCAACGTTTTTCACGTTACCACAATTAACACAAAATATTGCTTTACGTAAATCATTCAGATGATTACTATTTTAGGATGCTATTCTAGTAAATAAACAAACAGGGGAGATTGATTATGTATGCTAGAAATAATCTTTATTTTAATTATTTAAATAACTGAATAACATATCAACATTTTGCCTCCATAATAAAATGTCTTCAAATTAATAAAACTCATACATTATCTACCAGAAAAAGACTATCCAGATACGTCTTACAGAACCCACTATGTACTTGTCACTTGTTTCGGTTGACAAATCAATGTCTTGATGTTTGACTGCATTGATATTGACAACAAAAGGATGGATGAGTGGGGACAGGAAAATGCCAACATTTTAAAGTAATCCTCAAATTTAATAAAACACAGGGAAAATATGAACAAAAGATTTAAATGGAGTCCCTAAAAAGTATAGGAAGAATAATAGCAGGTGTTCCGGAAGAGTAAGCGTCTTCTGCTTCATCGACTTCAACCGTCATGTAGTCCTTGGTCCATCAAAATAAGAATGTAATGTCCTGAGGACCTTTCAGTATGTAAGTCAATTACATCGATACTGATTATTATAAGCGCTTTACAAGCAAAATCAGGTTGACACTTTTAGAGTGGTGTTAGTGCAATGCATTATTTGTGTTAAGATTGTGTTAAGTACAAGAAGATTGATAGCAGAAATAATAAACGACATCTGTTAACATTACCCTTGCAAAGACATCAACAGTGCCAAGTATACTGAGGATGTTATGTAATACAGCGTGTATGCTGTTGAATAATTAACACTCGACGGAATTTTTTTTTATTTCAGCATGTCAACAGCTAAATCAAGCGAGTTCAGATTATTTGAGGGCAAAGAACATGCAAAACTGTATGCTAAATACCGACCTTCATACCCAGAGAGACTTTACCGCAGAATAAAAGAATATTGTATGGAATCTGATGCCAATACCCTAAACTTAGCTGTTGACGTCGGATGTGGAAGTGGACAGAGTACCCTCCCTTTGACAAGCATATGTAAGCATGTCATCGGAGTAGATATCAGCAAAGAGCAGATTACAGCAGCTAGAAAAGTATCAAGTAATGTGGATTTCAGAGAAGGCCATGCCGAAGAACTTGGTTTCCAAGGTGACGAAACAGTCGATCTTGTGACCACAGCAACTGCCATTCATTGGATGGACATACCAACGTTAATGAAGGAAGTGAGCCGCGTGCTGCGACCTGGTGGTGTTCTGGCAGTGTATTCTTTCATTGACGACAAAATACACAACAATGAAGCACACCAAATTGTTTGGGAAGTAGGTTCACAGGAACAAGTAGACGAACACACATGTGTTGTAATCTGCATTTTTCACGTTCTTGTAACGCCGGTGTAAACACGGAAATGAATTTTGCTATATATTTGTTCTTTTATCTATTTATTTCTCTAATTCAATATATCTTTTTTATGATTTTCCGCTTAATATACTCGTTATTATTTACCTCGGTTCACAGTTTCCTCAAATCATGAGCATTCACCTGATATATTCACAATTAAGTAAGGTCGTCGTCTACTCATTTAATTATGTATTATTTTGTATTTCACAGCTTTTTGTGTTTGTAGAAAATACTTATTTAAAGTAGTAATTCGCCCACTTGTTTCAAACCCGAAGACTTCTTTTTAGGTTAACTTTTTTCTGCAAATGTCGACAGGGTCTCAGATCACAATTTCTTGGAATCTCTTCATAGCATGTTTGTTTATCCACTGGACTATCTTATAAAACAGTTATTCACGACGATACACGATTGATGAATATTATGGGTAGGATTAACGGTCGTCATATTGATCTCTATTCTATTTCTTTGAGAGTTATAAAGTTATATTTGTTTAATGCTCGGTACTTTGCCTGTTGGTTCAGATTTTGTATACCTAGTTCTCATTTGGCCTGCTGTTACTTTTTAAGGAATGTCCGCGGAAGTCTTTCCCTTAGATATTGCCCTAGTTTTATTGAGTTTGAGTTTTGATTGCAGTTTTGCTCACACGTTCGTATTTTCTTCTTGTTGTTACTGTATGCTTTTCGTGTATATTTTCTTTCACTCCTTTAATAAATCACTTTCTAGTCTGTAACATAAAAAATCCCGTTTCATATCTATGACAAGACAACTTTAACCTAAACATCCCTATAATGAAAAAAAGCAAAATGAAAGCTAGGATTGGTATGAACTTATGATAAGGTAAGGATTTAATCTTCTGATATTTCCTTCCTTTTACATTCAGTTTCCCTATTGTGAGTTTTCCATTTCTGGATAGCAACCTTACTGCGTACCTAATCTATTGATTCAATATTCATGGAACTGATCCCATTATCAAGATTTTTGTGAAAGAAGTCGTCAACTGACGGGCAAATATGTAACACAAGGTTTCATAAAGTTGTTGGGAAATTTCATGGCTGCAGTTTGAGGGAAACCAGTAATCGTTCGGCTATTAAATTTATCTAGAAAATTTTAGTTTGTGTTTATATATATATATATATATTATATATATGTATATATATATATATATATATATATATATATATAAATATTTATTTATTACTTATAGACATTTTAGTTTTATATGTTTAATTTCAGGAGTTTTACCACACAACTTTGCGCGAATGCTGGACAGAGAAACGCAAACATATTGCAAATGGATTAGCAATGGTAGAACTTCCCTTCAAAGAAACATTAAGGTAAATATATGTCACTTTTACAAAAAACTTATCGCAAACTTTCGCTCTCTGTACCCCTGGAACATGTCATGGCAAAATTTAAATCACAAGCAAAGTGATTTGATTGGTTACAGGAGGAAAAACCCTAATCAATCACAGACTGACACGCTCCTTTTGAAGATTAGAAAGTAGCAACAACAACCCAAATTCAAGGATGTAAATAAAAGGATGGTTCTCGGATGGCGCAGTGGTAACGCACTCGCCTTTCCGTATTCCCGCAATGGATGCGGAAAGGTAGGGGATCACTTGCCCGACCACGTGATTTTCCCCGTGTAGTCAAGTTTCCCAAAGTAAGATTCATCGCACACTTACATGCGGGCCATCACAAATGGTCAGTAGTAGCTGATAGCTTATTTTGCAGTTGGTAAGATAAATTTTATATTCATTTACATGAAATGATCTAACTAGTCTTGTTCTTATCCACAAGGTGTTGAACCTGCAACCTTCAATTTCGTTATGACATCTTTCATGGATACAGAGAGCGAAAGTGATTGTAACCCATGGAGCCTCGAGGATGGTATTGACATAGCATTAACAGGTTATTTTTTAAATGTTCTTTAAAATCGTTTTACGATATTTTGATAGGTATGAAAACTCTTTCTTTATGCTTTTATCAAATTGTAGGGAGCGTTTAGACGTTGAACGACACATCGATATCGAATCTTATGTTGGTTATTTGTCATCCATGTCATCATGGCAAACATACCAAAAGAAGAATCCGGACACAACAGTACTGTCGGACTTGCTGCGAAGGTACTCGTTACACTGTTAAATATCGCGGAACAATATGTATTTCATGGTTGTGTGGTGCAGTCTTCTTCACGGGTATTTAACTTCACCCTTTTCTATCTATTCATATCAATGTAACTGGGGAACAATTTGTTTTGAGATTTAGATCCACCAGCAAAGTGGTTGCTGGGTACTTAATTTTGTGTTTCATTTCCTAACCACGAATATAGCAAATTTAAATACAGTACAGCATAATCACGATTGTTGATGCACATTATGACCATACTATACCTTAAATCTCTTTAATTTGAAGAGATGATTTAAAATTTAATGTAACTACTATTCGCTATAATTCGATTTCCATTTGTTTCACCACCTAACCAATGAAGTAACAAGATTTATATAATTTCAAAACACATAAGGTCTTTTAAAGAAGAACATGAATAGACAAAGCATTAGAGTTTCTAAAAGTTTCTTTTTGTTATCGCTTTGCAGTTTTATACTCGTTCAATCAAAATAAATTTTAGCGTTTTACTATAATTCATTCCAATTATGCAAGTAGCAATTTCTTAAAGAGAAGGATTGCCTCGTAAACACCAATGGATGAGTCTAAATCAGAGTAACTGAGTTTCCCCTGTTACACACGCTTGTATCGGACAAAAATGCAGAAACATTCTTAATATCCATGATATGAGTACTATAACTTATTGTAATATCTATCTATCAATTTTAACGGCCAATCAACATAGAAAATTTCATTTGGTCAAAAAGATTAAAGATATTCCTATAAACAATAAATGAATTATTTATTCTGTCAATATTATTAACTGTTCTATCAACACAAACATTCGGGTCAACATATTTACGAGATCTCATTGCTATGTATTATCTAGTCAACATTTTAACGGTAAATTAAAGCAGAAAAGATGTCAACAGATGGTGGATGCATATCGAGCTTTATAATGCAAATGATGGTATACAGAATAACAGCTTAATACTAATTATATGTACATAATTTTAACAATATATAACATTCTATTTATGTTAAAATACATGTTGTAAACAAATTTACATATCCGTTTACACATTTGAAACGGGCTTCACAAATGTAAGACTGAAATAAATAACACTTGATAAATATCAACATATCATACTGATTAATTTTATTTATATTTTTCAGATTAAGGAGTTTGTACAAAGATCCAGACTCCGGGGTAGTTCGTCCTATGTCCCTGACTTCTCACATTATTTTGTTATTAGGAAGAAAGCCCAACTTGACAGAATACAACAACACGGTTAATCTTACCAGAGTATAATGTGTGCTGTTTGCGAATAATGGAAGAACATACAAGGAGTTAGGAAAAAAGAATATTGTTAGTTCGTGTATCCAGCTGGAAATCAATGAAACTGACGGCGAATAAAACCTTATTCCCTGATGACTTATATAGTTGTTTTGTACATTTGAATTCATTATTTGGCTATACTGTATCTAATATTAAAATCAATTTACATGAAAGGTATGTTATTCTGCCATCAGATAGACAAGGCGTCCATTAACTTGACCTTTGTCAGCAGACACGATTGCATTTCCTCTGTACACAAAGAACAGGGCTTGATAAATAAAGACGGAAACTCCAACGACGCATTATGCAATCTTTCTAAAAAAATAATAATCTTGTTTCAGTATTACAAGCGTTCAGATTGCGTTTTATTGATATGGACCTCCTCGTTTACATTGGATTCCTAAACTTCAATAGAATTCATATGAAATAACTTGTCATTGTGTTCTACCAACACTTCTTCAAAACTAAGAACTACCATTCTTAGTATAACCAAACCAGCGATACTGTCTCAAAGAACATGAAATTATAGTGAGTGAATATTGAAGAATTCAAATCAGTAATAAACATCATTTGATTTTAACACTTTACCCAATTCCTAGCTGATAGGATGCCTTTTTAACTTATCACGAAAGTTTTCTTTTCCAAGAAAGGTGAACAGCTGTACAATTATATAATGTTTCAACTAAACAAATGCGTATTTCGCGAAAAATTCATTCAAGCAGAAGACGAAATACACAGAGGACGAAATCATTAAAAAGATTGTGTTTCTCTGTGACACCATCTTCGATAAGTGTGCTGGAATGATCTTCAACTTCCCGTGGTTCCTGCTATATGCCATTATGAATTGACTACACATTTCTCCCGAGACAATACCCATGTTGAGAACAGTTTTGCACACACTCTCCAAGACAACACAGTCATATGACATGCATGTACGGTACACCACAATGAATATGACTTGATTATGGACGATATGGCCATGGATGAATGGTTTAGAGGGCATCATAATGTCGTAATCACGGTAGTTAAAAAACCCAGTCAGCCGCCTTATACTGAAATAGGTGTATTATTGTTCATGCATTCCATATAACAATTAACGACACGCAGGGTGGGAAAAACCGTGAGTATCATAACGGAAAAAAGAAAAAGGCTGAAGAAACGTTTAATGATTAAAAGCCTATATTTGATGTTTAATGGCTGAATTATCCTCGGCAGTTATTGTTACATCTAGCGACGTAGTCTTGCTAGGATTGCATAATATTACCTTTACGGTATATATATATTGAGACTTGATTTAAATGTAATGGACACCACAAATTACATATTACATGCGCACTTAGACCCACACAAAACAGATGTACAATGAATAGTCCGTCAAATTCACCCTCCTCTTCATAGACAACTCCTCTGTTGTAAATATGTAGTAGTTGGCATGACTAACCTACCTGGACAGTGAGTATCGAACATGACATGAAAAGTAAAGTTCACCATTTACAAAGACGGCGCAAACATTCCAAGCTATATAATCAGAGACTGATGATAGATACAAACAACTACAGTGTAAGTCGATCTCCAGGCGAAGACTTATGAACTACTGGATACTGTGTGAACTGTGTGGTCCGTATAACCGCCACGGAGTTAACACATATCTGTTTCTGTCTTGGTTAGATCTGGTGTGTATTGACAAGTCTGTATTCTTCTCCTCAAACCCAAACTAAAAACTAATAACAGACGGAAAAAGATGTCTGTAAAATCGATATTCCAATCACACTTATATTTCACCAACGTGTCTTTATACTTTAATAATCTTAGCTTGTTATTAAAGATTGTTGATATATTATTATTTATGTATCTGCACAGTATGACAAGAAACGACACAACAATGAATATGAATGAAAAAAGCCACCCTTAGAGTGGGCGACTTATTTATGAAATTAAAAACATATCTTACAGTTACAAAAACCATAAAATGAACGAAAGATTATTTTTTAAGTAATTATAATAAAAAGCCAGTGTGAGGTTAAAAAAACCGCCACAAAGACATGACAAAATGTCTTCCCCACAATGGCGAGCTTGTTATTAAAGATTATTGATATATTATTATATAAAGAAAACAGTCAATTATACGCAAAGTAAACATCAATTGATGAATATTGCGATACCATAATATACAAACAAGTATGTCACCTGGGGGCCTCCGTATCATCCATACTTCATACGATTTAGACGCATGCGTAACTGTATAATATAGAATGATTCATAACAGATGATGATGCAGTATGGGTACGGAAACACAATAACACCTCAGTCATGATTGAGTTGACCACATTGTTAAAGAATGCTTAAACGGACCTGATCAGGTAAATTCTCTATCAAAATAGTTTGAAAAACACGTACTTATCAACAAACAGAGGAGAAACACTAACCATAGACAGCTAAATATGTGTTTTCTATTCATGGCACGTCCTATGAAACATGATATATTTCTGCGTGCTCAATAGCTACTTGTGATTGTCACTTGTGACTTTTGAAAAATTACCAATCAAACTGTTCTCTGGAGCAATCCACTTAGCAAGTAAAGGACAATACAAACAAAACATACAAAACAACAACAAACAGGTATATATACAATATATATGCGAGCGTGGCAAGTATCAAGGACTTCGACAGACAGCCTTGTGTGAAGACGTTGATAATAGCTGCAATACGACCAAGACGAGTAAGATTTGTAGTGAAAGTGACACTGGGTACAATATCATTATATCTGTAGACATGATCTGCGTTAAATTCAATGTCGGTTCCGTTATTATAGACATGTTGTCCTTGTACTTTTCAGGAATTTCCGTGTAATTCGTTGTTTTGTTTTTATTTTGCCCTAGTTTAATTTAATTTGAGTTGAATTATGATGATGAATTGCTGTTGGTATGTTCTTGAAGATAATGTACACTATCTATTAAAAAGAATATTATGAATAATGTATCACATAATTTGTTTTTGTTCAGACCTTTTGTATAGAAGCTCTTATAACACAACCAGCAGATGATTTAAGTATGGCTTTTCGATGACTACATGCTCACCATTTTCAGATAAATCACTTATGCGAAACGTAATAGCACGTCTGCACATATTGTACGAGATGGCAAGTAATGGATTATTTTTTTTCGGCTGTACTATAATCCTTACGTAGAAAGTGACAATACATCTTTAGGTACATGATGTGTTCGTTTTCACTGAATAACTTTCATTTTTACTGTCAGATTTGAAATTTTTGAAAAATATGATGAAAATTGGATAATCCGATTAGTATGCAGATCTCTATTCTGGCTCCGTTATTGTCCGCATAATTTATGGAATCGGGTTCAAAATCTGGATCTGCATTTTAATCAGATCGATTACTGAACACAACTTTCTTTGGCAGATATTGGTTACAGCTTTATTTTGTCCTCCATATCGATCAGTGTTTTATACCCTTTCAGAATTGTTTTTCTAGTATATGCATTCCTAATTTCATTTTACTCGATACTCCATTTGTTCACCTACATAGTTGTTACTTACATGCAAAAATTCTTGTCAATCGAATGTCTTACTCTCCATTAATGCCTTGTTGTCGGGGACACGTAATTCATAATCTTATCGTGTTACTGAAAAAGTCATCAAGTAAATAACAACATGTCAACATTTAAGTTTTATAACTCTAGAGGAAATATAAACAAAATAAGAGATTAACACAGAGGCTCCTGAAAATACAAGGAAAATAAGACCATTTGTTCAGGAAAAGAAAGCGTCTTCTGCTTCATCGACGACACCCAAAATATAAACCGTGGTCAATCCAAGTAAATGATGTCATAAAGTAATGAGAACATGGTATACAACAGCAACTGAATTTTGTTTAGAGGTGTCCTTTGTTGTTTTTAGCGTTTTATTCTTGTTTAGAGATATCATATCCTCATTATACGTATTGGAGAGAAATAATATGTCTGTTGAATCTCGCGTCGTGGCTGATTGTAGGGTATATTTTCCATATTGTCACCGAGTGACAGAAGTGTAGATTTAAATCATGTTCCTCCAGGACAAACACTGTGGTGGGGTGTGACAGAAAAAAGATTGATAACAATAACTTAGACTAAGAATCATACAAGTATAGAAACGCAAAGGGATGGCAGTGGACATAAACCTATGAATAGGAAAATATGGGTACAAAAATAATATGGAAAAGGGCAAGAAATGTCTGTTACAAGCTCCAGAAATAGATAGGGTAATTCTTCAACCTATTTCTGGTAAATCTGTTCATGATTATTCTCTCTATGGATCTTGACCATTCTTCCAGTACTTCTAGGTTGGGACTGAATTTATCAGCTTACCATATCTCGGCCATGTAGTTCGTGCTCTGTGTGGTATCCTCAACCCTTTTATCACGCGCTTTGGTTCCTGACGAAGCATTTTGTATTTTGACTTTGTATGTCGGCTTTGTGAAACTCTGGACTGTCACACGACGAGCACGAATACGGAAACCAATCCTCGATCAAGCAAATGTTTGCTATTTTAATAGTTATTCTGCTGTAAGATATGATATGCTGTGTACAGAATTGAAAAAAATCAACTGTTCTTTATTACTGTTTTAAATTCTTCCGAATTTACATATCATTATATCACTTCCTTGAAATAGCAGTATCACAAAAATACTGTAATCCTGGTTTGGTTATACTCAGAGTGGTAGTACGTGGTTTGGACAACGGATCGGTTGAACAGCTAGACAAACCAGCAATAAACATGATTTACATGGATTTTTGTGAAGTTAAGGAATCCAATACAAATGGAGGACGTCCATATTCTTACCATTAGTAAGCATTCTAAATAATAGTAATTTTCTGCTGACAGGATCAAGTTATTGGACGACTTATCAGAGGACAGAATAACATACCTGTCATGTTTAATTTGAATTTAAAATTAGATACAGTTTAATCAAATAATGA